CTGTCACCACACACCATCCATCCTTGCATGGGAACCAGGGCCAGCCCAGCAAGGCAGACTGCACCAGAACCCACAACTCTGTGACCCTGGTAAGTGAGACAAGTGGGGGTGGTACACTCCACCTCTGGTGGGGAGGCCATTGACAGAGCAGCACCTTTGCATTTTACCTTAGGTAGTGAAATGGGATAGGCCACCCCTGGTATGAACACTGGGAGCAGAATTTCTCTTCTTTTCTCCCCACCAAAACCCAGCAGAACAGCAGAATGACTCAGTGCTGCAAAGTGTGAGGGGAAAAACCAGCTGTATTCCTTGCAAACCATTTGTTTCTTTTTGGGCGGGGGCAGGAAACTCCCTGATCTCTCCATGTAGAAGAAGAGCCTTGCAAAGTTTTGTGCCTAAGAACTGTCCTTCTTATACAAAAATGGGATAGTACTGCCCCTGGAGAAGACCAGAGAGTGGGATATGCTTTTCAGGAACCCAGACATCTCCCACCTTCAACTCCTCTGCACCCCCCTCCTTCCCGCACCCTCAATCACAGGCTGTTAAAGGAAATAAGCCTGAGGTCTCCTATGCTTCGTTTTTCCTTTCATTGGAAAATGTGTTATTACAAAAAGGCACCATCCTTTATAAATCTCATTGGAAGAAATTCTTGTTTGTAATATATATATTTAAAACTAATCAATATTGGCTCTGGGCAGTGCAAGACCCAAAAGTGGTGGTTTGAATTAAAGAGAAGAAAAGAAAGAGCCATGATGATTAATGGGTACGCAGGGCGTGGTAAAAAGAGCAATTAACAAGTCTGAATTATGTATAGCTTGGCTTGGGTTGCGGGGGGGGGGCGCCCCTCCTCCTTCACACTTCAAAAGTGCCTTTCTAGCATTTCTCTTGTTCATCCGACCTTTTCACTAAAGTCTCCTTTATCCTGATGGGAATTCAGCTAAAGGAGCGAAAGCGACAGGAGTGATGAAAGGACCATGATCCCTGTTCAAAGGCAGGATCAGCCCACTCAACACAGTGGCATGAACTGACTGCAGAGGACAGGGAAGGCTCCCCAACAGCCCCTGACCCAGGAAAACATGAATCAAAATCTCTCTCTTGGTCTGAGACTGAGCAACTCATGATTTTCTGAGGGGCTAAGCTGGGATTTGAACCTGGAGCTTTCATCACCGACTGCAATTCTGGCTGGGAGCTGATCCACATGCTCCATCTCATCCCTGCAAACACTACCACCCCTGGATAACTGCCAGAATGGAGACTCTGCATGCATCCAACATTAGCAACTCTGAATCATCAGGAAAGGAGGGAGAATTTCCCTCACTCAGTCTATTTTGGATTTGTTAGACCCCACCTAGAGTCCTGTGCCCACTTCTGGCCACCATAATTTAAGATGGATATTGACAAGCTGAAACACATGCAGAGGAAAGTGACCAAGATAATAAAGGCTCTGGGAACCAAGCCTTATGCGGAATGGTTGAGGGAGTTGGGTATGTTTAGCCTGAAAAAGAGGAGCCTGAGAGGAGACAGGAAAGCCAAATATCTGTCAGATTCAGAGGGGTACCCAGGTTCCCTTGCACCCTTGGCAATGACCAGAAACTCAAAACGTTTGCCTTTCATAACCTTTTGCACTCTGCAAGTGCCATCGGGGTAGGGTCTGCTTTGCTCTGCTCCACCTCCCCACCTCCTCCTCCATCAGTCCATCTCTCAGCTTGTCTTCCTGCCTTCCTGTGCTTGCTATTTTCTCTTCTGCCTCCAACTTTCCTCCCTTCCTTTTTTCTTCCTCCTGCAACTCTTGCCTGCTCTCTCATCTTTTTTCCTTCCAAGCCCTGCTGGGTGCTCTGCTCACACGTCTAATAGTGCAGTCAGCTGAATGGGGGAGGACCCCACAGGGTTGTAATGTCTCACACCAGTGACCTGATTCCTCCACTGAGGTTCCCAGAGGAGCCTGCATGCCTTGCCCAGCCTACCAGAGCAGGGGAGTAGCAGCCCATGTAGTATGCAAATGTGTGGGCATGTAGGCTTCTAGCCATTCCAAGCCAGAGGGGAGGGATGCATCCTTGGTGGGGGCCAACCTGACCAACCCTTAGGTATGCCCCTGGCCATATGCAAGATGGAGCAAGCTTGTTTTCTCCTGCTCAGGAGGGTAGGACCCAAACCAATGGATTCAACTTAAAAAAAAAAAAGATTTCTGACTGAACAACAGGAAGAACTTTCTGACAGTAAGAACTGCTCAATGGTAGAACAGTCTCCCTTGGGAGATGGTGGACTCTCCTTCCTTGGAGGTTTTCAAGCAGAGATTGGATGGCTATCTTTCAGGGATCCTTTAGCTGGGATTCCTGCATTACAGGCAGTTGGACTAGATGACACTCAGGGTCCCTCCCAAATCTACAATTCTTTTATTGTATGCTATGACATCCCCGTCCCCAGTGCAGCAGTCACAGGTAGCAGGGCCTCCCCCTGGAACTTCTCCTACTTCTGGGCCAGCTCAACAAATGGCCCTTTATAGGCTTCTTTCAAGAGCACCACTGGTGGGGTGGAATTGTGGGCAAGGGCCACAGCTCAGTGTTCAAAGCACCTGCTTTGCATGCTGAAGGTCCCAGGCTCAACCCCTCAGCAGCATTGTCAGGTGACACTGGGAAAGGGCCCCTGTCTGAAATCCTTGAACCCTACATGTACACCCTCACACATTTTTGGGGTCTCGAACTTGGGTGCTGTTCTTGCTGAAGCCTAGCTGACTGCTGTACTCTTTGGCTCTGGGAAGAGCCTTTCCCATGATGGTGAGGCTGATATTCCTTCCTTCTTTCCCTGCAGAGGGAGGCCTCCATCTCATATCTGAGCATCCAGAACTCTTTGATTTGGCTGCAGAGCTTGAAACATGGATTAATTAGAAGGAACCCCAAACCAACCACTAATGGCCTCATTTAAACCCCCAAAACAGCACTTAGAGTTCAGAAGCAGGGAAGCCAAATTGGCAGCAGTAAAGGTTGTTGTGTCAGATGCTATCCACAACCTTCTGTCTGATTTCCCTTGGCTTTGGTGGATTAGAATCAGAATGGCATTACTCTGGAGTAAATGCTAGTGTCAGGGGAGGAGGGAGGGTAGTGCTTGGGGCTGGTGTGTCCAGGAACAAATGGATAATTTGAGCATGTGTTGAAGTTCCTGGCTTGCTTCTCCATGTGACAAATAATGAGTATTTCCTTGCACCTGGATTTCAGCTCGGGCACTTCACTTTTGCAGGATAGATTTATGAGGTTAGCAAATAATTTCCCACACTAATGAAAGGCATGCAGATATATGCAAGACCCAGCAGTGAAGTATATGAGTGGGGCTAGGGCAGCAGGTGTGCTTTTGGAAATAACCTGCCCCAAGGATTTTACCTAGCATTATCTAAAGAAGCCAGTTTCCAACAGTGAAAATACTGCTGGAGTGGGAAAGCTACTCCCTGAAGGAAACAGTTTTTTCATCTAAGAAGACTGCCTGGGAGGCACCTCGAAGGGTGCTTTGAGGCCTCTTTCTCCTGCTTCAGACCTCAAGGCTTGGGTGAAATTTGGCACTGAGCTCTCAAGCTGCTGCAGTTGGCTGCATGGTTTCCCCCAATCTTGCCCTCCTCACAGGATTCTTGAGGCTGAAGCCAGTACCAGGAAGACCCTCAAGGGATGCCAGATGCTCCTTCAGCTTCTCCCAGGGACTGAGCTTCCCCCAAGCAATGCTGAGTCTCCCTACTGGGGTCCTCTACATTAGCACAAATGTCTGTTTATTAGCCACTGAAATGCTAGCCTTAATTTCATTAGGGCATTTGGGAACCTCTGAATTCCAAGCACCATAAGAAACCAGGCAGACTGCTTTGAATTCTGTCAAGTAATGGTTTAAAGGTTTAGGATTTTCCCAAGTAGGTTAATAGGGTGGGCTGGGTAGGCTTTTCAAGGAGCAAGCATGCATACGCTGTCATTGTCACCCTCATCATCAGCTCTTCCGTGTTTCCCTGAGATTGTATCTCTGCAGATGAGCCCTGCAGCTGCTGTCCAGAGTGCTGAAACAGCTCTCACTCTTGAGGGTTCTCTGTTATAAAAAACAAACAAACAAAAAATCCTTCAAAACACTTTGTGCACAGATTGCCCTTAAGCAGAATCTGTGGTCTTGCATTCCACCCCACACAAACGCTCTTGTTGTGGTCTTAGAAGCAGCAAAATGCATCATGGATCCTGGATTTTCACACAGAAAATGAGTCAAATGCCCAGCTTGCCTCAAGCAGAAAGCAGTAATGACAAAGCAAGTGGCAGGCAACCATGTGGTCGTGTGTGCCAGGGGCCCTTTGCAACGCTTATTTCACTCCAAAGCTGTCTACACACGCTGCCCTTCCCCAAAGGGGTTCCAGGCACACATGACCTCCAAAACTATCCTCACCCTTCTTGCCATCAACTCTATGTGTATTAACAGGGTATTAATTCAGGGTCATTTGCAGATGACACAAAAATGGGAGGGGTAGCTAATGCCACAGAAGCCAGAATCAAGATTCAAGATGACCTTAATAGATTTGAGAAATGGGCCCAAAGTAACACAATAAATTTCAATAGGGTCAAATGTAGGCAGGAATAACCAGCTGCACAAATATAGGAAGGACAACTGGCTTGACAGTAGGGCATGTGAAAAGGATCTAGGGGTCTTAGCAGAGCACAATCTGAACTTGAGTCAACAGTGTGGTGCAGCCATGTGGCCTCAGTAAGGGAACATGTTGTGGGGGTGTTGAGTTGGACCCCATCAGAATTCTGCACCCAGGGCCACAGTTTCCCTTGCACACACACCCCATGCTACACCACTGTGGGATAGGCAGGGTTAGGGGAAAGGAGACAAAGGATCTCAGTGGAACAGGACCCTGCCATGAGCAAAAAGGGAGCCACTGTCACACCATCCCTTCCTCACATGAAAGATAAGATACAAAATGACAAAAGATGGGTTTTAGCAACCATATTTATAACTAATGAGTAACCTCAGCAGGGAAACTCTTTATAAAAAGTATAAATGGGTGTGACATCTTGAAATGAGCCCTCCTTCCCTGGGATAGGTTCAGGAACAGTTGGAGGGCAATGCAGTAGGCACTTCAGAAACCTGAGGGTCTGTGAAATTCATGCTGGCCCACAAGTCATTTGCATGCAGACTCCCTCCTGAAGGAAAATGAATGCAACAGCACATGGATTGGATGAGCAGACCAGCTCACCAGGCCTTCCGGCATGACAAGGTTTGCTTTCCAGAGAGAAGATTTGCTTCTGGCTCCAGGGGAAAAGCTGGGCCCCTCTGCTCTGGCTTTCCGCTTGAGAGACGCTCCCACATTCAGTGTGTCTCCATTCCAATCAGGCTGAGCCAGGCGGGACTGCAATTCATTCCACTGTACACAGCACCCCCTTGTGGCTCACCATTTGCAGCTGGGAAGCCAGAGGTCTGTGGGATCTGGAAAGGAATGTATTGCTGTTGCTGCAGCTGTTGCTGCTGCCGCCGCCGCTATGTAACATTGCTAGACACACACACTGCAAGGAGAGCTGCAGGGCAATTTGTTTGTTAAGTAAATAAGCTCATGGAACATTAGCTTGAGCAGACCCAAAGCCCCAGGGTAAAAGAGTCACAGTCTGCGTAGTCCAACCAGAGCAGCCAGGAAACTGGGGGGAGGGAGAAGGGAGGCACCTATGCAACCCATCTGCTAAACCCACTGGCTGCTCACATCTGAGCTCTTTATTTTGAAGATGTGTAACGTGCCCCACAGGACGCCTGTCAGTTGTGGCTTCCTTGGCTCAGGTGTGTAGAGTCCACATCAAGTCATGTGCCTGCCAGACACACACTGGAAGCGTTGTGGGCTTTTGGGGTGATGGGTCCTGCTCCCATACCCAGCAGCTCCACCCCAAATTCTTGTAAGCTTCTTTTTCATTCCAGAAATGGATCTGAAGGGATTCATGGTTCCAGGCAGGATCTGAGCAGACCCAGTGAAAACTTGATAGAAACACTTTGGCTAAGCATACTCCTCCTCCACAACTAACCCTGAGGAAAGTGGCCCATTTTCATTTGGTGCATAAAAATGGAAATTGACAAGAGGGCTCCAAAACTAAAATCTGAGTTTCAGGCAAGTAAACACCCTTTGGGTCCAAAGTTCCTTGTTCTGTGTAAACTGGCTCAGTCATGAACTGAGGCAAGAAGAGAGGAATGGACAAGGGAGAGGGCTGCAGTGGGTGGGGTGTTTCCCTGAGAATGGCAGAGCTATTGTGCATTAGCCAAGGGATGCTGGTGAGTTAAACAAGAAAGAGGGGCAGGGTCTCAACCAAGCCTGTCCTGATGTTCATCTGGCCATTTCTACCCAGCACACATGGGACAGCCACTTCAGCTTAATCCTTCATGTGAAATGTGAGGAGATTTTCCTCTCCAGCATTTCTGGGATAGGTTCCAGGGTCAGAATTTGTGTTGGGCTCAATCACTTTCCCTGGACAAGTACAGGGTCCCCCTACCTGCCTGGGGTGTGTCGAGCCCCCAAGGCAATGCTTGCTAAAGAGAGGCATCAATTGGAGCTCTAAAGTCGATGCAGAAGGAGCTGTAAGTCTTCAAGAACTGAGGGGGAAACTCAGTCAGGAGGGACCTTAAAAGCCTCAAAGAGCAGAAAGGGAATGAGACTGAATGAGACAGCACTGCCCGCTTGAGCAGCCAGGCAGCAGAACCAGGGCTAAAGAGCTTGTGTGGGATGGCAGGATTGCAGGCATACAAGCAATCTTCAACTAACACATTTCCAAAATCTTATAATCCTCACTGAAGCAGGTGGGTTCAGGCCCTAGCAAACACCAACACCCCACACACCCAAGTGCACACATCCCCTTCCTTGTCCTCTATGCAGACTTAGGGAGCATAGGCAGCTCACAGGGAGAGGTTTTCTCTGAATGTGCTCCACGAACAGGAAGGACCTCAACCGGCTTAGAGATTTCCACAAAAGTGGTTGTCAAAATAAGATTGTAAGCAGGTAATGTGGTCCACTGTAGTGGGTTACTTGATGGGAATGTTCCAAATAAGCACCTGCCAGAGGCAGTGCTATTTGGCCCATTTGGGGGCGAGGGTGAGAGGAGGAACATGCAACTTGAGGAAAGAAATGGAGTGTGTCTGACCTTCTCAAAGCAGTTCAAGAGAGACTTAAAGGGACCCTGGTGAGAGTCACCAGGAACATACAGCTGGGAATGGACTAAGGGGAGAGAAAGAGTCAGCTAGGGAGCAGCAGTTTGGTGGAGACAGGGTTACTGCAAGGCAGTCTGGATGGGCATCAGATGCAAGGAAATGCTGCTGCCTCAAATCCAGATGGCAGCACAGTAGGTTAAGGTTTGGCTTTCCCCTCTGCTGTGGATGGGCTAATGGAACCATCAGAGAAGAAGTCATCCTGCTGGTCTTGCTTCACTTTGGTCTCCAGGGAGGTGACACGCTGCTTGAGCTTCATCTGGGCAGCATCATACTCAGCCAGGAGGCGGGAGAACCGGGCATTCAGCATGTCCAAGCTGGCCTCCAGCCTGCTCAGCTTTTGCCCCACATCCATACCTTCCATGCCCTCTGCTGCAGTTGCTTCATCTAACAGACCTTCTTTGGTGAGGATCTCTCGCCCACGCTCCTCCAGGACTTTCTTGGCATCTGGATACTCTGTCACTGCCTCCATGAGGTCCTCCTTAGACAGGCAGAAGAGGTCAGAATAGCCAATGCTCCGGATATTTGCCGTCCTCCGGTTCCCCATTTTGCTTCCTTTGATGTTGAGGATGCTGATCTCCCCAAAGCAGCAGCCTGCTGTAAGCATAGCATACTGGGTCACGCCATCATCTGCCACAACAGCCAGCTTCCCTTCCTTGATGATATACATCTCCTTGCCAATGTCCCCCTTCCGGCAAATATAGTCTCCAGGGCTGAATACCTGGGGGCGGAGTTTGAGCACCAGCTCCACCAGAAGCCCAGCCTCACAGTCCTGGAAGATCCTCACTTTCTTCAGCGTCTCCAGGTGGACGTTGATGGCTATCTCTGCCCGCAGCTTGTCAGGCAGGTTCTTCAGGACCTCCCACTCCTCCACAGTTTTCTTATTGGTCCAGAGGTAGTCAAACCACTTGATCACCTTGGCCTCCATGTCCTTGCTCACTTTGCGGAACTGCATGTAATGCTTGACTGCATCAATCTTGGCCTGAAACTCTGCCCTGGTGGCGTTCATGTTGGAGATCATGGAGCCCACATTTCCCACAATGGTAGCAAAGATGAGGACACCAATCAGGAAGTCAAAGATGACGAAGAGATACTCTTCATCACGCACAGGCGGAGGGGTCTCCCCGATGGTAGTCAAGGTCAGTGTGGACCAGTAGAGGCAGTAGATGTACTCCCTTGTCAAATAACCAAACTCTGGGTCTGAGATGTTGGGATACACCCAGGTGTCCTCTCCAAAGCCAATGGCCTTAGAGATAGCATAGTAAATGCAGGCATTCCAGTGGATGATGACCAAGATGTACATCACCAGGTTGCAGATTCGGAAGATGTTTGGGTAGCTGGTCCGTGTCTCCGTCCGGTCAAAGAACTCAAACATGCGGGAGAAATGCAGCAGCCGGTTGAAGCGCAACTCGGGGCGGTTTAAGCCGACAGCAAAGTAGGCAAAGTCAGTGGGCAAAACAGAGAGGACATCCAGCTTGAACTGCATGGTGGCAATGTACTTATCACGCAGCTTCTTGAGGTCCTTGACGAGTAATCCCTGCTCCAGGAAACCTGCCAGGGAAACACAGTGTGAGGCATTAAAACGCAGCAAAATCTTTGCCTAGTGCTGTCACTGCAGATATGGTGATGTGTTTATTTCCATCCAATCTGTTCATTCCACATGCCTTGGATTTCACCCATCTCCAGCTTCGTAATCCAACTAGAGCCAGGTAGCAGCAACATTGTGGAGAGCAGGCAGGACTTACAGAACACATGATTCTAAGCAAAACAGGCCTCCCATCCTTAGAGTGGTGAGCTTGTAGGGTGAGTGGTGATTGTTGAAAAGATGTCCCAGCCCCAGATAGTGGGAGAGCATGAGATTCTGCACTCCCCCCCCCCACCCCGCAGCATTCAGATCATTCATCAGCTCAATATGATATCAAGGCAGAGGCTTTTGCCAGACCTGAATATTGATGCCCAGGTGGGTAATTTTAAGAAAATTATTCAGCAGTGAAGGCTGATAAATCTTTCATTGGGGAACTCTATTTTTCAGAACTGCCATTAATAAGATTTGCTTTATTGGGGCCATTTTCTGTCTCACAAGTGCTGGAGCTGGAATCCTTAACCACCATAGTGAGATGAAGGCTGAGCTAGACTCCTCCCCACACAGCTCCCTCACCTGTGTGAAAGCGGATGACAATGTCTGCGATGTAGATGCTATCTGCGATGTAGTCTAGAACTAGCCACAAGATCCAGTACTTCCTTTGGAGGTCGTTGAAACAGGCCCTGTGGTGAGGAGGGTGAGAGAGACAATTAGAAGGCAGCAGCCCTCTGGTGGCTCGGGCAGCTGATTGGGAAGCAAGGAGGCCAAGCTGCACCACTATCTGGACAGGGGTAGCCTAACTTCTGTTGTCTATGCTCTGGTAACCTCTAGGTTAGATTACTGCAACATGTTATTTGTGGGGCTGCCTCTGAAGACAGTTCTGAAACTTCAGCTGGCGCAGAATTCAGCAGCCAGGTTGCTCACTGAGGCAAGATGGTTTGGGCATATTACCCTTTTCCTGGCCCAACTGCACTGGCTGCCAATTCATTTCTGGGCCCAATTCAAAATGCCTCACACTGTGTTTCCCTGGCAGGTTTCCTGGAGCAGGGACCACTCATCAAGGATCGCAAGAAGCCCTTCTTCATGTGCCTTCTCCACAAGGTTTCTAGAGGGCAGTAACATGACAGCAGGCCTTTTCAGTGGTGGCACCCTGCTTATGGAATGATCTCCCCAGGAAAGCTCATGTGGTGCCTTCATGACATTATCTTTAAGCACCAGGCAAATATGTTTCTTTATAACGAGGCCTTTGACTTACTAAACATTCTATGACATTTTAAATGTGTTTGGGGGCGTTATGGGGGGTTGCTCTTGTTTTATTATGTATTCGTGTTCTCATTTTGTATTTTTATGTTGGGAACCACCCTGCGATATTCCAATGAAGGATGGTACAGTGGTGCCCCACAAGACGAATGCCTCGCAAGACGAAAAACTCGCTAGACGAAAGGGTTTTCCGTTTTTTGAGTCGTTCCGCAAGACAAATTTCCCTATGGGCTTGCTTCGCAAGATGAAACGTCTTGCAAGTTCTTGCGAGTTTGTTTCCTTTTTCTTAAAGCCGCTAAGCCGCTAATAGCCGCTAAGCCGCAAAGCCGCTAAGCCGCTAATAGCCGTGCTTTGCAAGACGAAAAAACCACAAGATGAAGAGACTCGCGGAACGGATTAATTTCGTCTTGCGAGGCACCACTGTATACTAATTTAATAAATGAATAAAATAGAAATAATAAATAATTCAATGTGTTGGAAGTGTCATAAGCGACCTCCCAGAGTTTCAGCAATGAGTTAACCCTGTAACTACTGAAACTCCAGCAAATTAAGGATTGTTAAATCCATGCTTCCTAGGAAGAGAAGTTCTGGGGGAGAGGATCAGGAGAGAAACAGCAGCGGGGAGAGGAGTCACAAGGACTCACATCATGCTCTGCAGATTAGTGCAGATAGGTGCTCTGGGCGGAATCTGCACCACCCCCTTCTCTTGTGCCTACCCCCAAAAACATGGGTTCCAAGGACTCACCGTGCTACCAACGTGCACCAGTTATACAGGACTGGGACTGCAATGACCATAAGCCACCGATAATACCAGTCCCCTGCGGGATTCATCACGAAGACTTTCCATTTCTTCCTGCAGATAGAAGCAAAACATTTCAGTGGCCACAATGAGTCTTCAGTAGATCTGGCCTAGGGGGGAGATGATGGTGGAGAGAGCCTGCAATCTTCAAATCCCTGGTCTAAATTGCAGCTAAGGCATGAATTCACACCATGGGGGGGGTGATTTGGAGTACATGAAACTGAAAGGGTTAAGTGAGCACACACAGACCTCCTTTACCCAGACAGATGACCAGAGGTGGCCACAGCACAGCGCCTGAGAAGTAAACACCCCAGGCCCACCCCTTCCTTCCATCCAGATATCCAGTCAGCCTTCCTGCTGCTGAAGCGTCTCATACTTTCCAAGGTGCCCAGCGAGAACATCAGAAGAACCCTGCAACAGCTGATCAGGCTAAAGAGAGCCCATCTAGTTCAGCATACTGTTCTCACAGTGGCCAACAAGATGCCCCAAAGGAAAGCCCCCCCCCCGAGCTGCCTGCTCTCCAATTCAGGTGTTCTGAGGTCTCCATCCAGTACCTCAGATTGTTACAGAAGTGTCCAACCCCACCTTAGGCCTCATGTGAGAGGGAAAGGGGTGGGTTGGCTCACAGGACATTAGATGGGAGAAGGCAGGAGGTCCTGGCTGCTAGAATCACTAGAGCAAGCCCAACCTCCCTGTTCCCTGAAAGGCCTTGATGGCATCCCTTGAAGACTGTCAAAGTATGGCAATTTTTATTTCTAAAGTGTAGAATGGGAAGAAAAGGAATGCCCCATTCCTCTCCTCAGCCTTGTCCACAATGACCAGCAACCTCAGCACTTGCACAACAGCCTTACACAATGGGCTGAACACTCTTGCCTGCTCCTGTTTTGCAAAAGCCTCACTGGGCCACAGCAGCCCAGAACCATTGCTGCTCTCTGGTAATTAACACGTTCCACTTAACCTCTCAGGGAAGACCCTGTTTGCTCAGTGCCAAAGACCCTGGCTGATTGTGAGCCTCTTTCATTCTCCAGCAGCCTGCCCTTTCCTCTTTGCTCAAATTACCATGGCTAATGGCAAGGTCCAGCCTTACCAATGAGGCCTGCCCCTTATTTATAGTGGAGGAGGGGAAAAGAAAAGGAAGAGAAAAAGGGGAAAGAAGCAGGAGAGGGAAGATGAGGAAGAAGTAGGAGGAGAAGGAGGAAAAGAAAGAAAAAGAGGAGGAGGAGGAAGAAGGAGGAGGAGGAGGAGGAGGAAGTGAGGAAGAGGAGGAAGAAGAAGAGGAAGAGGTAGGAAGTGGGAGAAAGAAGAAAGAGGAGGAGGAAGATGAAGATGAAGAAGGAGATGGGGGTGAGAAGAAGAGGGAAGGTGGCCTATGACTTCATCTCCTTGCCCATGCAAAGTCTCCCACAGCAGCTCCAGCCAGCCAGGAGGGAGTCTCACTTTGTCTTTCTGTCATGGGTATCAAACCCATCGCCCCTTGCTGCAGCTACTGCCAAAGTCTTGACATCTGGTCCTCGAAACCGTTCCAGGAAGGAGTCTGGCCGCCGCTCTTCTTCTTTCAAGCCTTTATTGGCCCAACCCCGGATAACCATCACCAGGCGGGCTATCCTAGAAAGGGAAGAGAGAAGGGAAAGGGTCAAGCTTTACAAATGGGGAGGGGGGAGAGAACACCCATACATTTCCAGTGGAGCAGTGGAGTAAATTCTCCCCTCACATTCACCCTGGGCAGGAGAAGTGTATAGTGTGTGGGTTTTTCCTCTCTCCCTCTGAGCTGCAGTTACACAGCCCCACTCTGCCCATTGCTTCCCCCTAAGTGCCTAATCTAGGTGCTGAAGCATCTCACTCCTTCCAGGCTGCCAGGAGGGATCAAAAGAAGAGCCCTGTAGCAGGATCAGGACAATGGTCCATCTAGTCCACCATCTTCTTCTCACAGTGGCCACCCAGATGCCCATTATGGGAAATCTGCAAGCAGGATTCGAACACAAGAGCACTCCCCTCTCCTGCAACTGGGATTCAGATGCATTTTTGCCTTTAACAGTGCAAGTGGAGTATAGCCATCCTGGCTAGTCACCATTGATAGCCATCTTCTCCTCCATGAATCTGTCCAATCCACTTTTAGAGCCATCCAAGTCTGTGACCTTCACTGTCATCAGCTTTCCTGGGAATCAGCAAGAGAGGAAGACAAAGTCCTCAGGGCTTGTGAGGGTTACAAAGCCTCCTCTTGCCCATCATGTTCAATCAAGTACTTCTTAGGAGGGGAAACAGCAGAGGGTTCTTCAGCAGCCACAGCTAGTAGGGCCTCCCCTGAAACTCCTGCCCCGTTCTAGGCCATCTCCACAAATGGCCCTTATGGGCTTTCAAGAGCACCCCCAGCAGGGTGGAATTGTGGGCAAGGGCCATAGCTCAGTGGCCAGAGCACCTGCTTTGCATGCAGAAGGTCCCAGGTTCAACTCCTGGCAGCATCACGAGGTGGGACTGGGAAAGGACCCCTGCCTGAAACTGTACATAGGCAGGATTAGATAATACTGAGTTAGATGGGCTAATGCTCTGCCTGAGTAAATGACAATCTCTTATGTTCCTAAGTCTTGAAACACCAGCTCAGCTATGGGTAATGAGTCAAAATAATAGAATCATAGAACTGTAGAGTTGGAAGGGATCCCCAAGGGCCACCTAGTTCAACCCCCTGCAATGCAGGAGTCACAGCTACAAGATGGCAGATGGCCTTCTGACCTTTGTTTAAAACCTCCAATGAATGGAGTGTCCACCATCATCTAAGGGAGTCCATCCCACTGTTGAATGGCTCTTACCCTCAGAAAGTTCTTCATAAAGTTGAGTCGGAATCTCCTTTCTTGTAACATCCCCATCTAGAGCGGAGTAGCTCATGGAGACTACTCTTTGGTTTTAATGATGGGCACAATTTCAGCACAACCTCCACACCCACCCAGGCTGACCCCCCCCCCCTTCCAAAGACTGCTGCTCCACAGAGTGGTGGGCTCCTGTTGCATTTTCCATCTCCACTGCAAAGGCCACCACAAAGCCTGAGGAGGAGACACTTTATCTTGGCTGTGCTTCATCAACCCCACAAGGAGCCCCATAAGAAGTACCTGGAGAGGCCTCCTGTCTTGTGGGATTTCTCATCCAGATTATCCAAGGCGGCAACACGCTGCAGTTCTGAGGACGTGTCATCATTGACTGACGGCACTCTGTAGAGAGACCAGGTAGGAAGGATGTCCCTTGGCTGCCAAGCAGAGGTGGGAATGGAGCGGAACACCCTCCCCTCATAAGGGGGTCTGCCCCTCCCACTGCCACTGCCTCCTCCTCCTCAAGCTCCCTTCCTACATCTAAGCAAGAACTCCACATCAATCCAAGTTGATTGACTTGGGAGTTGTAATGACTCCCATATTGCCTAGCCCAGGGGTCTGCAACCTTTAAGACAAAAAGAGCCACTTGGACCCGTTTCTGAAGAAAAAACCACTGGGAGCCGCAAAACTAACGCACACACTGCCCCCATGCGACATCACAGCCAGTACAGCGCCCACCACAGTGGGGAGTGTCGGGGCACACAATGCACCTCCTCCCCTCGCTAGTATCCGCCCCGGAGCCGCGGCAAAGGTGTAAAAGAGCCACATGCGGCTCCAGGGGGTTGCAGACCCCTGGCCTAGCCCTAGAGAATCCCCCCCACCACACACACACACATTAAGGGAGTTGATTCGTGACTGTGCTCAACATAGGCAGGAAAGCAAACTGGAGGATTTTGGGAGCTACAGCCTACCTCCTGCCTTGACCACAAGGTGGAGATTTAATCTGAGATCCTATCCCTGCTGGCTGTAAGGAAAACCTAGGGGAGACAAAAATCAGATCTCCTCTCACCTGTCCCAGCCACCCTTATTCCAGAGCACGCTGTGCTGAGATGCAAAGAAGTCAAGCATTTGCTTGAGAAATGCGGGGGTGGGATCTGAAAGGGCTGCTTCACAAAAGCCCAGCTGTTTTCAGAATCATAGATTCATAGAAATGCAGCGTTGGAAGGCACACTGAGGGTCATCTAGTCCAACCCCCTGCAGTGCAGGAGTCAGACTTCTTGGCTCATATGATTGAACCCACAACATTGGCATCATTAGCACCATGCTCTAAAAGTGTGTTTCCTATTGGAACTCAGAGTTGTGAGTTCGCCCATGGAGGAAACATTTCCCGGGCCTCCACGCTCACCAGGAAGGACCATTTGCTCTCATCCCTGAACTCCTTCCCAAGTGGCCCCAAAAGGCTTCCCCTCCTCTCTTAGGCACAGACTGACCCCTATTTAGTTATGCTAGGCAACAGCCCAGGCCCTTGCAGGGGGGTGGGCAACCAGATACACTTGTCCCAGGCCTTAGAGGGCTAAAACAGCTGGGGGCCCTGCCAAGGGCCTGACAGACTTACACAGTCAAGCCAAGACAAGACCCCTACCCTGGGCCTCAGACAAGCTCTGTATGGGTATGCAGCAACTAATTATTGAAGAGCATGTTTTGGGTGCCTTTCCTCCCTCAATACTGGGTATGCAGTGTCAAGCTGGCTCTTGGGCCAGGAACCCCTTGCAGCAGACCTCAAGGCCACCTGCTCTGAGAGTTACCTGCTGTGGTTGCTGAGCTCCTTTCTCTCTGGATCCCCATTGGCAGCAGTTTTCATGGGCTCCTGTGGCTGATGATTGGCAGGGGAAGCCTTCAGACCATTGGTTTTCTCCATCTTTCTCCATGCACAGAAGGCAGCAGCGGCAGGAGGGAGAGGAACCTGTGCCAGGAAACACAGAAAAGAACGAATACCCAGGAAAGAATCCCGGGAACAAGACCTCCTCATGTTGCTTCCTTCCAACGAGTTGTGAGGAGTAGGTGCTGCCCCAGTGCAAACAGAGACCACCAGGGAGCTCCTCCTTGGCTTAAGGTGGGGCTTGCCAGCTTCTGGCCCAGAGAGCTCACTCATCCCCTCCCAGCATCCACAAAAAGCCCCACTGATTTTGGTGCCAGCTGCCAAATTAAAACAAATAAGAACGTAGACACAGCATGGAAGGGGCCTGAGAGGTTGTAACATCATTTGGTGAGGGACAGGGGCACTAACCCCCTATTCTGCTGATCTGTATAGGGAAGCACCATGGCACAAGGGTAGAGCATCTGCTTCCTTTGCAGAAGGTCACAGGTTCAACCCCGCACATGGCAGCGTTTCCAGGTTGGCCTGGGAATGTCAGCTAGAAAGTATACTACAGATCAGGGAAAATACCACTAGGCTCAAGAGGAGCCCAGCATACTTGGAGAGCCCAGCATATTTAATGAGCACTGTATCAGTTGAGAGAACTGTACATTCCAAAGCAAGTTTTCCCCAACTCCTGAGGAAGTTTTTAAATCACATTGTAGTCAGCTTTTTATGTTTTGCTGGTGTTTTCCCATGCTTTTGTAATTTTACCCATTAGTTCGCTTGAATTTTATGGGATTTTTATGCTTATGTTCCTTGTTTTGGTATGTTCGGTTTAGAGACTGCTTATAGGCGCAGTAACTGTGTAGCCAGGATTTTTGTTAGGGGGGGGCAGGCAGGACTTTTGTTGGGGGGGGGACAGAACCATTGTGATTGGTCAGGTAGTAAAGTATTTCTATTGTTTTACTTGATTTAGGGGAGGGCAGCTGCCCCTCCCTGCCCACCCCTTGGCTACGCCCATGGTTGGAGGAATGACATCACCCACATATACACCACCAGGCACTGTTCCCTCCAACTCACAGAGACAAAAGGCCCCCTTTGCTTAGTCTTCCTGCCATGATTTGCTTTCTGGCTCTGCTCAGGAGCTCCTGGGGACGCCATCAGATGGGCGACCTCTCCTTTATCTTGGAAGAGTGAATTATCCCAAGCCAGGCACAGATTCCCTCTGGCACCCAGAAATTTGGCAAATGCCCACCTCCCATCTTTAGTGACCTGTGGCCCCTCGGCTTCTTTCCAGTCACTGAGGGGATGAAGATCAGATGTCAGCCACCAGCCTTCAAGGACTGATTAGCTGTCCCAAATTGGCAGATTGCTTGTGGTGGCCAATCCCCATTTTCAGTTTCTCAACAGAATGACAGAGATGTGATTCATCTGCTTCTCAATTACAATAAAGAGAAATGAAAGCTTCATTTTAAAATGTCAGTTTTTGCCACTGTTTCCAGACTCTGCAAATGTGAGCTAACTGAGTACTGAATGCTTGAAACTTAAATTTGAATTCTATAGTGTACAGGGGAATTCTGCTTCATGCTCTATTTCTCCACTCTTTAAACTCTCAGGGTCCCCTGCCTTCCACACCCGCTTCCTCTCCCATGTGGTCCCTCCATGTTATTATTCAAGGCTTCTCCCAGAGGCTTTCATCTTTGTCACTGTTGCCAAGGCAACCACATCAGCATAAGCCCTTCCCTAACAACAGGTGTGAGGTGCTCTCCTAGCCATTCTCAATAGATCCACAATAGTAATGAGAGCCCCAGCAGATGGGTGGGGGGGGCACTGGGGAAGAGTGCTGTTCATTCTAGACTTTACAATGGCTATGAAGAGAGAGATGGAAATGGCAAATATCTGTTGACAAAGGAAACCACTATAACTAACAGAGGGCGGGGTGCATGGCTTCTGGTAGACTTTTGCATGGCAGCTATTAACTGTTGCTATAGTATACTTAAAGTGCCATACTATTTTTTTGCAACTGATTAATCCTCCCTTGTTAACTCTGGTTGTCAATTACTGTGCTTATTTCAGCAAATGTAAACAATCAAATCCCATGGGAGGCTAATGGCAATACATGCACAGTGTATGACATGTGGTTCACTTTGCACCAAAAACTCAATTGTTACTTGAATGATGGATCTTGGAATCGGGGTGGGATAACACCAGTTATAAGCACATAAGGCTTCACAGCAGAAGTAGCTTAAGAGAGGGCAACTGGGCCAGTTGAAGCCCAGCAACCATAGTCACTAAACTCCATTCAGCTCCCTAGCCCACCTCAACATCACAGCTGTCTGGATACCACCCAGACCGGGATACCACCAAACCTTCCCTTCCTCCTTCCCACAGGCCTTTGGGTGCCCTTTTGTCAGATTAATTTCATGGGTGCATTAGGAAATCCCAATTGTTACGCCTATATAGATCCCAAGACTTGGGCTCCCAGCATGAGCAAAAGGGTGTTCCAATCTCTTCACTTACCCAAGTCAGTTCATAATGTAACAGACAGTAGGGTTGAGTTGGAGATGGAGAGGGGGACAAATGCAAAGCACCCCAGTTAACACCCCTCAGCTTTCAAAGGGCAGATCTCCGAGCCTCTCACTTCATCTGTCGCTCAGGTTGCACTTCCTGCATGCTTTACCAAAACATTGGTGGGAGGGCAAGGTTTGGTGGTGCTGGATGAATCCCAATTGAGCTAGTCCTGCCTTTTGGGGAGGTGGGAGTAGCTCCAGATAACGAGCAGGGATTGAAGCTGAAGCGGGGGAGGAAGAGGGTCACAGAGAGTGTCCCCTGCCCCATACACACACACGTACACGAGATCAGCTCTGGTTATGTGACATACTAGAAGTCCTCAGCACCTCCCTTGTGCCTTCTAGACAGAGGTAGTCCTGTAAAGCAGGGGTTCTCAGCAAGGAGCCAGGAAGGAGGACCAGCACTCGACAACAGATGGAGGGAGAACACGGCAATGTGTGTGTGTGAGAGAGATGCCCTCTACACCCTACTAGGATGTCACTCAACACCTGCACTCAGGACATTCCGGGGCAGTTGGAAGAGTCTGTTGCGGAAGCAGGAAGAAGTCAGTTGGAAGCCAAAGAGAGAGGGAAAGAGGCTTGTCAGCTGGTGACCATCCCCCGGTTAACTACTAACTAACAAAACCTTGCCAGCATTATTGAGCAGACATTATTCGCCGGTTGGTTCTTATTTATTTCCAGATTCTTGGATCCCCTCTCTCTATGTCTCTTCGCCATGGGTAACGTACAACTGTTTCCTGGCATGTGCAGAAGACAAAAGGGCCTACGGAAACACACACATGCACACTGACTGCATTTGTTTGTACAGAAACTGTCCAACAGCCAGCTAGGAATGGAATTAATGCCTCTCGCCCACCCCATGACAGGTTGCCCTTGCAGGAGGAAACAGGAAGCATCAAGAAAGGCATTACAAAACTCATAGCTACTGCAAAGCACCCCAGTGCAATGGGTGAGGGACACTAACACTGCACCCCCGTCTAGGGCAGGAAGGGTTTGGCCACCCCCTCTCCCCAAACACACTTTTACTCACTAGTCAGGGGTCCTGCACACGGCTCTGTCTCAGGGCCAAACCCAGCATGAGAACAGGGCAAGGCAGCAGGACTGGCAGCTGGTTTCAATGAGCTTTGGTGGCAGTGCGGAGCAACCCCGCTCTCTGGGCCTCAGTTTTCTTTTGCAACCCTTCGGCGTAAGTGGTGAGTGGCACTCTCACTCTGTTCCTTCAGGAGGCTGCTGGGATCATCCAGGAGTCATCCCAAGGGGTTTGGAGGGTCTTCTTCAGCAGGCTGGGATGGCAGAAAATAAGCTGATGCCAACATGGTCTGTGGCATGAAGGAGCAGCTACACACACACACACACACACACACACACACACACACACACACACATAGAGCTTGCTGGCCATAGCAGCACAGGGGCCTAACCAACTAAACTGCAAGCCAAAGCATACATCTAGGAGCCAGGAGTTTACCTGCACTTCTTGCTGCAGCGCACATGCCTCCAACTCTGAGCAAAGGTGCTCCACAAGCCTTTATGCCTAAGGGATGAAAGAGGCTCTTCCTCGCCTATTGCCTCAGCTGGTTAACCCTTCCTCTGACTTCAGTTCAGCAAGGCAGCCAGTCCCAAAGGATCCCTTTCATACTGCTGCCTCCCTACGGAGCTTATTTGATAAGGCCTGGGTAGTTTACTGAACTGGACCTGTTCCCCAAAAGATGGACCTATTATTTAGCTTGCAAAAGTGCAGCCCCTCTTCTTTCAGAATGGGAGCGTGAGCCAGGAATGCAGCAACGTGCTGAAGGATTGAAGGCAGGCACTGGGGGTCCCGCAAATCATCTGTTTTGCAGTGGCAGTTTCCAAAATCCTTTGACAGCTAATGTCATCAGGTTACCTTTAGGACTGTCATTTGACTAAATAAATCTTAGGAGGGATTCCCTTGTCTGAGTTTCTGTTTGTTTGATTAATTGATCAGTTAGTCAACCCTGAAGCCAAAAGCATTCACTTCAGTCAACCCTGAAGCCAAAAGTATTGTTTTTTTTCTTTTTCTTTTTAGATGATGGCTCTCTGTGTGTGGCAGAAGGCATCACCTGGTAAGAAACATCCTCTCTGGGGCACACATGCCCCTCTTAAGAATCATAGAGTTGGAAGAGATCATGAGGAGCATCTAGTCCAACCCCCTGCAATGAAGGAATTCTTTGTCCCATTTTGGGCTTGAACCCATGAACCAGGGATTAATAGTCTCATGCTCTACCAAGCTATCCCTTGCATAAAATTATCACTGCAAACCATCTGTAATTGTTGCAAATAGGCATGTGTTTGTCCATGTATATATGTGCATAAATACACACATGCATACCATATTTGTATCTCCCTTTTCCTCAAAGGAGCTCAAGTTGGAGCATGCAGCTTCCCACTCCCTATTTTATCTTCATGACAACCCTGTGAGGTAGGTTAGGCTAAGGGATTGTGCTTCACAGATAATGCTCCTTTCTTGGACACGGGTGCAGCTGAAGGCAGCCCAGCTGCTTCCAGGGGAAGGAAGACCACAGCCCACTGTGATATTCGCTTTACTCTGGTGGTCTGGAACTGAACCTGCAGTTATGTGGTAGACTCAGAGCCCAGTGCCAAGTCTGCTGGAGGAAGACCCCTACCCCCACCTCCATCTTCTTCCTCTCCCCAGGGCTTGCTGTTTGCTGCAAAGGAGATCCTCAATCTGCTTCCGGGGGGGGGGGAGCACTTT